ATAATAAATGAGAGATGAACAATCCATTTTGTCTTGTGTACATATACATATAAATATATATATCTATGTGTTCTCGTACACTACCAACACTTGACCACCTAAACCCAAATGCGTGCCATCCCGCACGTGAATTCGACTTTAATTCTATGTTCTACCCTGACTTTGCCGCAGTGGCAAAAAATATTTGATTGTCTTTTAAATGTGATGGAGATGTTTGTGATAACCGATAAAGAGCACTGGACAGCTATTTCGTCCCGTTTTTCACAACCATTTCCATCGCATTTCAATGCATTCCAAAAAGTGAGGAATTAACGATCTCCCAAGGAGTGAAACCCACGTCGAACATCATCAAAAGTGCCTGGTGATGTGTAAAATCCGACTTGACTAATCCAAACACTCACCATCTAAATTTGATTTTCTTCATTGGAAAATCGTAGTTCTGTTGAGCTTCATTCAGCTAACCCTTACAAATAATTTGGGGAGGGTGTATATGCATACATGTAATTATATCTGATCAGATCAATAGTTAAGCACTTTTAGTATGTTTTAGAGTTCAGTGGAAGATGGAGAAAGCAGATATGAAAGCATAGCTGATGTTTTACAAAACAGATGCCTATCACAATTCAGTGTTCCAATTCAGCCAGGAAAAAATATTAATGAAATTGAACAAAATACCACAATTTTGGACGCAAACCCGAGTAACTTTTAAAACCTTGTGGGTTTCAATTTGCAGAAATTCTTTTGCCAGAATAGAAACCTAAGCGTCGCAAACAGATTGTATTTCCTATTATACAAGTTTGAATATATATATTTATTTATTTAACACCGGCTTGCGGACAAGCATGATGNCATGGTGCCAACGCCACAACAATAATAATAATAACAATGACGGGAGGGGGGTTGGGATGCAAAACATAGAAAAAATGACGGAACTGTTAAAATGGAAGCCTTCTTAGCAAACAAGTATTCCTATCAGGACAAGCTGGATTGCTCTAAATGAATACGGTGCTATCAGATACTCACCATCTGAGACCATCGAGAGCGTAACAAACAGGGATTATTCAATGGCATCAGAGATCACAAATCCACAATGTCAAGCAACAACCAAAGAACATTTACGAGTGATCCGACCGTCAAAAAACTTAGAAGTATGGGCTTGAAATCTGCTCACGCTAACTTCAGTTTGGTTATCGGTAAGCACAATGATCGGGCAGTTTACGTCTGTGCGATAACCGTACCCCAGTCAGCAATGCCCGCTGCTGGGACCTTGGCACCATCATCCAACTTTGGTGGCATACGATTCCGTTTTCACCCAGTTGAGTACCATGTCTAACTTGTTAAGGCTTTGCCATTGGCAACCTCGGGGTTAAGGTGGCCGGTTATGCCTAGTAAGTATTAGGCCCTGGTAGCTACGACGTTCGCCCCTCCTCATGCTTAAGGCATCTAACAAGTACCATCCAGACCAGCATCCCGGTGTTTCAACATTTGAACTTATCCCATTAGAAATACTGTTGCTAAAGGAGTTGACAACTTTTCAGGTCTACAATACTTGTTTCATACTTTACCGCGCATCGTGGTTGTGGGCGGTAACAATACATGATGATAAATTATTGTGCAATACTCTGCAAATGGTTGGATATTTTAAGCTCCCTGCAATAGAGAGTAAAATGCTCATAGGCGAACACATTTTGTTATTGCATTATCGTCAACAGGAGTGGGTGTTATATCGGTGTGTAAATATATCTTATTTCCAAGCAGTGTTTCTTTATTTTCACTGGTTAGTTACATCGGTTTTACCTCTACCCCGGGCCAGTGCGTAGTCACAATTCAACGAGTGACAGACTAGAATAATCTGCTCTAGACTAACTCGAGGTCAAATCAAGCCGGTGAAAAGTTCTGAAGGAGAGAGATTTTGGCAGTCAATGGGAATAAAATTACTACAATTTTATTTACAAAGCCAATCACACGTGCAGTGATTCACCGCTACGTCCGTATCTAATTTCCAATGTTTTTATTGGCCATATGAATCGGGTTACGCCCTGAACGTGGGCAACGTGAACTTTAAATTTGGGAGCGAACGCGCGGTTTTTCAAAATTCGATTCGTTTGGGTTACAATTCGAATGTCCAAAAGAGAGGATACTTAGACAGTTAGTTTTTATTTCGTTAAGGAAAGTCAATATTTCCATGGGTTAGAGTTGCCAAAGGGGCTACTCGATTTTTATACATGTCAATCACGCTACTCAGGTACAGTTTTCTCCCGTCCTATCACCCATCTTGGTCACAAGACAAATAGATGTCCATTCCATTTACGTCATCGATCGCACCTGGGCAATCATTTCCGCAAATTTGGACAATATCATCACGTGTATGTTGAGCAAAGAAAAGTCGACAACAGATGGCCTTGAAAGAACCATGTGATTTTCTCATTAGACTCGTGCGAACAGAAAGCAATAGTTTGGTTTACCCAAAAACACGGAAATGCGCAGAGAGAAGGAGAGAGATAAAATAGGTAGACATAAATCATCGATTTTCACCTGAGAACAGATTATAAAAAGATAATCATATTTGCCACCATGGATTGTCTAAACTTTGACTCGTCAACATCCTGTGAAGAACAGTTTGATTTAACTTGTTTAGCCAGAACCAGTACTATTCTCAAAATGATCCATTTACAAAGATGAGTCTTAGCAACTAGAAAAGAACTAGTTGGGTATTTTCGATAGTCTGTAAGTCAGAGTCATTCATTAGCCAGATGTGCTTTTAGTAGTGCACTGGACACTGCACAATCCTGAGTGTACATTGTCATGTTGGTCGGGAGAATTGCTGGAGTAAAAACGAATTTGTCCCGTCCTCGGTCCCGACGGCCTGACCCGACGAGAGCCTTGAACACCTCGAGCATCCCAAACTCTGAGACCACTCAGTTTAGCCACAGCTCGTTTTCGCATTTGCAATCATATTTGGTATGAATGGTAAAAGGAATAATTCATGCTTTCAAAAAAGCTTACAGAGTGCAATGAGCGCAATTGGCAAACTTCTTTGGTGGAACCTGGAATGAGCTCCCCTAACAGGTGCAATGTGATATTCACCCAGACACCATAAAAGCGATGTGCCATTAAATCGGGTCAAACGGTATCCCTGTTCAAATATATTAATACCGCAGTAGCTAGTTTTGTCATTTGAAGATGGTGAGGCACGGCTTTGAACGTAAGGCAAGATAGATTGATGAGGGTTGCAGATCAAACCGATTTTCGCCAAGCCAGCACATTCAGGATGACTTTTGGTTTTGTCCATTTTTGCACTAGCTAATTATTAAATATTCAAGTCACACTTGAGTTAATCCAGAAGTAGACCTAAAATAGGGTGAGATAAAACCCGTTGAAATGAAAAAATGGTACAATTATTTAGGTAAAAAATGACGTCAATTTCCAAGTGCCGTGAAGTCTTGCATGGAGGTTAACTGTTTGGCACATTTAGAGGAGTTTCAGAAACAAGATCTCTTGACTCCTGATGTGAACTTGCTGTTCTATAGTTACTCAATGCAACTATTGAGCTTAATACTGGATTCTTGTCTCTTGAACGCCGTCACTACGAGGAAGCCGTGAACAGGGCTTGTGCAGCAGCCGCTTTAGGATAAACACGGTACGAAGATGCCTTGGAGCCATACACACTTGAGGAAACTAATACTGTCCTGTAGTGATATACAATCACCGATATTGTGAAATTGTAACTCGGTCCAAATATAACTATCCTTAAAGTTTACCAGTGGCTTATTGCAGAAATGGCATATTTTTATCTAGCCTCAAAACCTGGAGTGCGTGTGTGTGTGTGTGACTGATCCAATGAGAAGTCGGTGTCCAATCGAAATGCACACAGGATCCACGAAACGTGATTTTATGCTACAACTATGGTTTTTGATTAAAATTTGATGAATTCATTTGTAATTTTGACGCAATGCAAACTGGTTGTATGGATTATTGACAACCATCCTAAAAACATTTTACGGTTAGCTAGACGTGTAAATTTGAAAACAAAAAATATGGCTAAATCGATCATCACATTCTAATGTCTTGAGTGATTAAACTAAAATAACTGAGCTCTAGATTACGTGCACGTCCAGCATATGAGGAGTGAGTAAATAGCAGATATTTAACCGTCGCTGATAGGGTTGAGAAAAACAGAAATGTGGG